GCTGCATACATTCTATTCCCCCTTTTTTACTCTTACATCTGTTCAACCTCGTTTCTAAATGGCACAGGAAATGTTGTATTCTGGCTCCGCTTCATTTCGAGAAAAGAGAGATGCATCACATATCTTACCACCTTCTACATATCATACCCGCCAATCTCTGAAAATATGAGTATGCATATTTCACTCTTATGTAATTCCTGGACGAGTGAATTCAAGCTGACCTGTTTGTTTGCTGTTGCAACTGTATGTGGAGATAGAAATAAGTAACAGCCTCCAACAGAGTGTACCCAGAATTTAGGTATAAAATAAGCAAAGGAGATGCCAGTGGAAGGCCCATACTGACAATAAAGATAGAAATACATTCTTGCCTATAATGCCGATAAAATATGAGTAGACAGACCAATTCTGACTACATGGGACACTAGGCAGATGGCAGTAAACTGAAAGCTGAGTAAACTAAAAAAGTATCGACAATATCAGTACTAGTCTACCAAAACACCGCAATCTCAGACAGTTAAAATGATAAACAATATGATGATCCTCCTCTCTGATTCAGTTAAATTGGGATTGGGATGAGAAGTCCAGACTAGGCAGCCAGTGTGAATACGATCAAGCTATAGTAACACGTCTCGAATTCACATAGTAGTCTGGCGAAACCCTTGACGACTGAAGTAAAATAAAAATCTTGTCAGCAGTCGGCTTCGTAGATCAGTTGGTAGAGCACAGGTCCGGAAACTCGGTGGTCGCTGGTTCGAATCCGTCCGCGATCCAGATTTTCATTTCACCTTTCATCATTACGCAGTATCAATACTAGCCTGCCGAACTACGGTTATTTCAGGTAATCAAAATGATAATTTATGATGACAGTCCTCAAAAGAATGAGAGCGGTTAGCATTCTAATAATATTCACCATATTATTCAAAGTTTTACGCACAGAATGTTGACACAAAACTAAAAGGATAATCCTTATACTGACTTGAAACAATTAAATGTTCCACTTGATGCCTTATGAGAACCGGTTAATTTCAGACTACTTTTTATCTTGGATAGACATCAAGTGGAGAAACACTGAAAATTTATTAGCACTGGACACTTGAGACTCCACATCACCGCGCACCCTGTTAGGGATCGATTCCGGGACAGTCAGGGCTTACAGCTTACAATTTATTATTCAGCGACGTAGTTGGAATTCAGTGGCCCAGTATTTTTTATCGTTGTTAGTTTGCAATATATTGCAAGTATCAGGAGGTAGTTGTCTTCACTGCCAACTAGGTCAACTCCGTGATTCATGGCTTCTTATTACAGCTTCAGAAAATCCATCTACAAGCATGTCGCCAGAGAACATCGGATACTAACCCGACTGATGGCTTCTAAGTACTGATTGACTTCAAAGTAATTTTTATCGGAGAACACCAAACCATAGTGGTGATGAGAATATGTCTCCTTTTATGACAATGATAGTGAATTTTGAGAAATAAAGAAACTGAAATAGTATAATTGTTGTTTAGCATACGTCGTCAAAAATGGTCACTTCTAAAACTCTCAGCAGCAAGTAGACCATTTCACAACTTATGGACAAGAATCAGACTCATGCACCTTTGCAAGTCTGTCAATTCGAGAAATACTTAGATTTTTGTCTCACTTGCTGATGGGAAACCTTGGTAATTCAATTTGGGGGTTTGTGGAGGTTTATTGATTTCAAGTTGGCGTTCATCATGGACTGATATCAGTTGGAGAAACATTGGGAACCTGGAAGCATTGGATAGCAGTTTCGTCCTAGAATGGTACTCCTCATATGTGAGCACCCATGACTCCACCAGAGGTCGAACCCGGCATCTTTAGATTCCGTGGTCAGCACATTACTATTGAACCACTGGGTCGAAATCCAACGACCCATATTTCCAACTTTTGTCAGTCCACGACATAACGCGACCATCACCCAATGTCATCGTTGAGTATTTGTCCTCACCCCCACCACGTAGTTACTGGTACTTACTGAATAGTGTGCAAACTATGGTAATCTTTCTTTGTCGATGGTTGATTCCCTACTTCAATCTGGGCCATGATACACTCTGATTAGCACACACAGTCCCCCAACTAGTCCGATCCTACGGCTAATTAATTGCTTGCAGTACTGATTACACAAGCAAATGAATACATTTCTTATCGGCCAAGTGTAACATGAATAAGCCGAAGTATTCATAACGAAGAAAATTTCATTACGTGTTCAACTCAGTGACAAAAACTCCAGCAATGTAACGCAGACAGACAGATACATAGCTTTCCGTAAATTATTTTCATCCATTTGCGCATGGCAGGCTTTATGATCGCTTCGCTGTCCAGTGGTAATTCAATTGTTAACATTTAATTCTATGCATTTCATTGGTCCACTTAAGTAGAACAAGTTATTAGCCAATCAGGGGCTGGTATTATTTACAAAATATTTTACAGTGATTGAGAGATAGAGAGGAGTGGATGGAGTGAGAGAAAAAAGACAAATTACTGCGTTATTCAGAATGGGGGTGGAGTTTAGTAAAAATGAGAAGA